AGAGAGAGAGAGAGAGAGAGAGAGAGAGAGAGAGCAGAGGCAGAGATCGTAATAAGCAGCGAGCAAACTCGACAAGAGAAACGCGAAAAAAAAAACGAAATCAATTTCGATCAGTCTGCCGAGCCAGGTGTGAAATTGCAAGAGAGCCCTCTCCCTCTCTCTCTCTCTCTCTCTCGGTGCTGGACGAGAAAAGATATGAAGAAAACAGGTTGTGTGTTCAATACACGCTCTCGTTGCACACTATTCCGCGTTGTCGTCGATTGAGCCAGGTGATAAATCAAGCCGCGAGTAGGAAGCCAGCAGCAACAGCACTCGAATAGTTAACGTGTTAACATAATCAGCGCGGCAGGAAGGATGGAACGAGAAAGCTGTTCGATTTAGTCGGGAAATCAACGTGACGGAACGGGCGGATTAATTATCGAAGGCGAGATAATTACCCTCTAATAACAACGCTGTCGATGAAAATTTCGCGTGAGCAACGGACGTTAACACTGAAAACCTGACTAGATGATATATTTTATATAATAAGAAATTTCCCAGAAAAAAAAACTCCTTTAGTAAACAAGCAAACGATTTTACACACATGCGTCAATAATTTATTTCAGTATGATACTTTTGGAAACATTCTGGAGTAAAGCTACCGAACAAAGTTCACATTGTAAACTCTTTGTGATTTTCACTATTTAGTCCCGATAATCGTCAATGTTAGATTGAACAAATCTATGTTACATATGTGGGCTCATCTGCTAATTCGAAAGATATCTTCGAAAGATACACGTTTTTCTTCTGTCTTTGAAGGAACATCTGTTCGTCGCTGTGGCTACACTTTACAAAATTATTTTCACGTGCTTGGCCATAGCTCGATGGCAAACGAGATTATTTGCTAGTTAATCGAAACGGTGAAACTAATTTTTCGTAATATCCCGACTAATTAACTTGCACACGTTGATGCATATTATTGCCACGAGAGGTGGAGATAGCTCACTCAGTCTCTTAATCTGAGGGTCCAGGGTTCGAGCGAAGAAAAAAAAAGAGACATTGTCTTTTAGGAGAGCTCTGTGTGTATAAAAAGGTCCAAGAATTCTCCCAATGTGCGAAGGACGGCCATCGTGGAGGTTTTAGTCGGTAAAAATTTCCTCCAAAAAAAAAAAAAAATATTATTGCCACGAAAATACGCCACGAGCCTGTTATTCCACCCGATGGGGGTTCTATCGCTGGAATAATTAACTGGATAGGATTTTCGCGGATTCTCGATGATAATCGATTGTCAGTGTATATCACGTGATTTACCTTTAAGCTAGCGTGCAACTTATTACGTATCGACCAGGAGTAAGCTTCGCTACTCATTTTACCTGGATAACTTATGCGGCGTCCAGTCGGAGGAGAGTGCGTGCTTCTACCTGGGAAATTTATATGTAAATCACAGAGGCACGTCGACGGTTTGCAACGTCGTCGAGAAAGCTGACAATGTTATTTCCGTTGTGGCGAGGCAGCTTCGGCCTCTGATGATTTATCACAGCATTATCGGCGCACGGTACCAGGAAGGGTGAGACTGCAACGTTGTTACGTCGTGAGGGTATAATTAAAAATACTATACCTATTTTACAAAACTTTCATTCGGACGGGACGAGACTTTCCACTCGGTTGGCTTATTCATGTAAGAAAGTTTCGATATTCGTACTTTGCCGGAAGTAGCTACTAGAATACGACTAATTCCTAACAACATTAGCACGTTTGGCAGGCAATTATATTTATAATTTATAAACACATTATTCTAAGTGTTTTTTTTTTTTTCTAAATATCGATCGAAGAGAAAAATCATTCGACAGTGGAACTAGCTTCGCAGTAGGGAATTTGAACCGAGTAAGCGACTCTTTTAGAATGGAAAGAATTATGATACATAAACATAATGTGTATCCTGGATATATAGAAACATAAGCGTGGAGAAA